TCTCTCTCTCTCTCTCTCTCTCTCTCTCTCTCTCTCTCTCTGTGTGTGTGTGTGTGTGTGACACGCACAGACACATGCGCGCACGCGCGCAGGCAGGGCCGCTTCAACAGTTTCATGTGTGCATGAACTGAGCAGCCTTCGAATGTGCAAGATGAGAAGGAGAGTATGGAGAAAGGGGCTGTGAGATGCAACCCCATCCCCAATCCCCTCCCCCTCCTTCTCCCCCTCCTTCTCCCACTCCTCCTCCCGCTCCTCCTCCTGCTCCTCCTCCTCCTCCCACTCCTCCACCAAACAACATGACAAAGATCCCGCCATAGCCCCGCTCCCGCTGCTTCTCCCGCTGCTTCTCCCGCTCCTCCTCCCTCTCCTTCTCCCGCTCCCTCTGTTGCTGCTCCTCCCACTCCTCCTGCTGCGCGTCCTGCTTCCGCTGCTTCTCGTGCTTTTTCCGCCGTTCCTCCTCCCCCTCCTCCCGCTCCTCTTCCCGCGCGATAGCCCCGCTCCCGCTCCTTCCCCACTCCTTCTCCCACGCCTCCTCTCGCTCCTTCTCCCGCTCCTCCCACTCCTCCTCCTCCCCCTCCAGGCTCCCGCTCCTCCGCCAAACAACGTGACAAAGATCCCGCCATAGCCCCGCTCCCGCTCGTTCTCCTGCTGCTCCTCCCTCTCCTCCTCCTCCTCCTTCTCCCGCTCTGCCCCCTGCTGCTTCCCCTGCTCTTTCCCCCGTTCCTCCTGCCGCTCCTTCTCCTGCTCGTGCTCGTGCTCCTCCCGCTTCTCCTCCTCCACCTATATCTCCTCCCCCTCCTCCGCCTCCCCCGCGTTCGTTAACCCCCTCCCCGTTTGCCCTCCCGCTCCCCCTCCCGTTCCTTCTACCGCCCCTCCTCCCGCGCCTCCTCCGCCCCTTCCCGTTGCTCCTCGTGCTCCTTCTCCCGCTCCTAACCCCCTTCCCGCTTCCCCTGCCGCTCCTCCTCCTCCAGCTCCTCCTCCCGCAGCTCCTCCGCCCCTTCGAATTTCCCCTCCCACTCCTTCCCCCGCACCTGCTTCCGCTCCTCCTCCCACTTCTCCTTTTCCCATCCCCCCTCCCGCTCCTTCCGCTCCTCCCGCTCGTCCTCCCGCTCGTCCTCCTCCAAACAACGTGACAAAGATCCCGCCATAGCCATCTCCTATGAAAAAAACAAAAGAAAAATGGCCCGCCACGTGGCTAGCCGAGAGAGAGAGAGAGAGAGAGAGAGTGCTTTCCAGTCAATTTTGCTCATCCTATCGATGGAAATAGCGTGAGGCCAGGCGCGGGGTTGGAGACTTACCTGTTCGCCGGTGTCTCTCTCTCTCTCTCTCTCTCTCTCTCTCTCTCTCTCTCT